ATTCCTCAAAATATTCCTTCCATCTCCCAAAACCTCTTATCTCCATTTAATACTCTCCTCTCCTATTTTTTATCTGACAAATCCAGTTGTTCTCTAGGGCTTTTCTTAACTTGTTAATCTCACTCCAAATCGTTTTTTCTTATTTTCACAAAAATTTGTTGTACCATCTCACCCACTCTTCATATGCTCTCTTTTTACATTGCTTCACCACTTCTCTTAACTTCTCTCTTTGTCTCCATATACTCTTCCTCCTTGCATCCTTCTACTTTGGTAAAAACTTCTCATTGCTTACTTGTTCTCCTTACTACTCTCTTTACATCATCATTTTCCACCAATCGCTCCTCTTCCCTCCTGCACCCACTTTCCTGTAACACAAATTCTGCTGAAACACTCTTACACTACATTTCTAAACTACCCATACCTCTTCGACCCCATTGCCTATGCTTCATTAGCCATCTATCCTCCATTAGCTGTTATATCTTTCCTAAACTGCCTCCTCTTTTACTTTATAAAACCTTTCACTCTCTCTTCCCTCATGATGCTTCTATTCTCCTTGTATCCCATTCTACCTGTTACTCTCAGTGTAGTACAATAGAAAAGTGGATCTGATATATCTGTGGCCCCTCTTAAACATGTACATCCTGAAGTTTACTCTCAGTCTTTTATCTACCAATTCTAATAAACTATACTACTTGTCATCTTTCGCCCTACATCAATCGTGATTATACTTTTTATCCTCATTTTCTTATAAATATGTATTACCTATAAACTAAACCCCTTTCTATACAAAGTTCAATCAAAGGGCTCCCATTTCATTTACACTGGCACCCAACATTACTACCACCCCTCTCTAAAAGTTTCTCCTACTTTAGCATTCAAGTACCTACCACTATTACTCTCTCACATGGTGCTTAAAGGGTCCTTACATTCACATTTACATCTCCAAATATCTCTCTCTCTCTTGCATTCCTCTCTCTCCAGTGCATAACACGTTTTTATGACCCTTTCTCGCATTCCAACCTTTACTTTAATCCACATAAATTATTGAAATTTACACATCTTCATATTCTCTTTTTCCTTCCAAAACTGATCTTTTAAAACATTACTGCTTCCCTTCCTTTTGCTCTAACCTCTCTCAGATACTCCTGATTTAATCCCATTTATTTCCCCCACTGAATCTCCTACCCCCTTCAGCTTTGTTTGACTTAGGGCAGGACATCCAATTTCTTTTCATTCATAACATCAGCAATCATCTGTTCTTGTCATCCGCAACTACATCCACGCACATTTAAGACAACTGTTTTATAAAGTTTTGGTCTTCTCTTTTTTAGTATTGTATCAGGTGAAGGGGTTACTAGCCCATGCTCCCGGCATTTTTAGTCGCCTCATACGAACGCATGGCTTACGGAGGAGTTTCTTTTCCACTTCCCCATGGGACCATAGAAGAAATAAAAAAAGAACGAAGGCTATTTGAAAAGGAGAGAAAAACCTAGATGATGATAGTATATATGCATGTGCGTGTCCTGTGAAGTGTGGCAATGTGTAAGTAGAAGTAGCAAAAGATATCCTGTTTCTTAGCGTGTTTATGAGACAGAAAAAGAAACCAGCAATCCTCCCATCATGAAACAGTTACAGTTTTTTTGTTTCACAGGTCATCTGGCAGGAACGGTAGTAAAAAAATACTTCCTGGGTGGGTGCTGTCTACCTCTCCTATTTTTTAATGACAAAATTCCATGTTGTTCTCTAGGCTTTCTTACTTGTTAATCTCACTCCAAAACTTTTCTTATTTTCAACAAAAATTTGTTGATAACAACTTCTCACCCACTCTCTCATTTGCTCTCTTTTTACATGCTTCACCACGCTCTTAACCTCTCTCCTTTTTCTCATATACTCTTCCTCCTTGCATCTCTTCTACTTTGTAAAAAACTTCTCATATGCTAACTTTTTTCCTTACCTACTCTCTTTACATCATACATTCACCAATTCGCTCCTCTTCCCTCCTGCACCCACTTTCCTGTAACCACAAACTTCTGTGAACACTCTAACACTACATTTTAAACCTACCCCTAAAGCCTCTTCGACCCCATTTGCCTATGCTCTCATTAGCCCATCTATACTCAATAAGTGTTTATATCTCTACCCTAAACCTGCCTCCTCTTTTAGTTTATAAACCATCACCTCTCTCTTCACTGATGCTTCTATTTCCTTGTATCCCACGCTACTTTTACTCTCAGTGTAGCTATCAACTAGAAAGTGATCTGATATATCTGTGGCCTCTATATACATGTTACATCCTGAAGTCTACTCAACTGTCTTTTATCAACCAAATATCATAATCCAACAAACTACTGACTTTTCGACCTAACATATCTTAAGTGGTATACTTATTTATCCTCTTTTTCCTAAAATTGTAATTACCTATAAATAAACAGGATATTGGACGAATGTATTAATAATTTTCTAAAAAAGACCCAATACTCTATAACAAGCACTGCCCTAAAAAAACTAAACAGTTGACAGCTAAGTGACTGAACAGTCCTGGTTAACACCCAGCATTCTCAAATCCATAAATAAAATCACCAATATGGAAAAACAGTACAGAAATGGGTCACATAACCAGAGACCAAACAAAAACATTACTCGTCAATCCTAAACCAGACCTGATAAGAAGGGCCATAAAAATTGTATTATGAGAACAGATTATCCAATTACGAGGTGAGGTGATATAAAAAAGACCTGGAAAACCCTATCAGAAATTCTCAGGATCAAAAAGAAGGATATCACGAAATAGCGAAATAAAATTAGCAAAAATCAGATGAACCCCACTCCACAACAGAAACAGCAAACAGACTCTCTATGACTTCTTCTCCACTAATAGGACAAAACCTTGCCAATAAAAATCCCAAGCTCAGATACCCCATCAATTGATACCTCACTGGCAACTACCCGAACACACTGTCTCTAGCTCGGACTAACCCATACGAAGTTCCTTATTATCAAACACGCTAAAAAAACAGGCAGAGAGGGGGTTTTAATACCTTACCACCCTTATATACAAAAAAGTGTCGCAATTGCTATCACCAATCATTGCAACACTCTTTAACAAATCCATTGAATCCTCCACCTTCTACAGTACTCAAAATAGCAAGGGTCACCCCGAATCCACAAAGGAGGTGCCAAACAGAGTTTTGAATAATATAGCCAATATCCAACTTACACCTCTCTCAAAAATCTTTCGAAAAAAAATAATTCATAAACGAATCTTACTCCTACCTTTTCCCCAAAACTTATCAACCCCTGCAATTTGGATTCAGGCCAAATAAAAATACTAATGAATGCTAATATACACATCGCTAGAAACATTTATACACTGCAATCGAGAAAAAAGAAGTCCACTGGGGATCGTCATTGACTTACGTAAAGCTTTTGATACAGTTAACCAGCTTGTCCAGTAAAATTGTCACACTTCCAGGTATAAGAGGGCATCTCAACCTACCCTCAAGTATACCTCAGCACCAGAAGCCAATTGTGTATGCCAAATGGGGCACTCTTCTGCACAACCAATCTACAGTTGGTGTTCCACAAGGGGAAGTGTCCTTGGCCCTCTTTCTTTCTCCTATACATAAAGTGATACCTAATGCTTCGCATTACTAAACCACATATTTGCAATGTAACTACCTTACGTTCTTCTCCCACCGAGCCCCAGTCACGCTAGACAATAACTGTAAAACCGAATTACAGAGAATATCTAGCTGGATGAGGACTAACAAACTTATACATAAACATAGAAAAACCTACTCATCAGTTTGGTAACAGAGCTACAGATGTCCCTCTTAACATAATGATTCAAGGATCACCTATCACAAGCTGGTAACAGAGGGGGAAAAATCTTTGGAATCCTCCTTGTATAGACTCAAATTTCATACACTTTACAATCAATTTTCTATGAAAATTTCCAAGACTGTAGGCTACTATTCGAAGATACGGTACTATGCTCCACTGTCAGCCCTTCCTGGCCCTATATCACTCTCTTATTTACCCCTATCTCACCTATGGAATTTGTGCAGGGGCTTCAACACAAGTTAACCATCTCCAGACCACTAATTACCCAACAAAAGGCTCGCAGTTAGAATGATAACATATTCTCACTATAGGCAGCACACTCCACAATATTCAATACACTATATACCTATTCACCATACAAAACATTCATACTTATTTACTTGCCACCTATTACTTAATAGAACACTTAACTCTGTTAATTAACCATCCCCTCAACATACTCCTTGCCAACCCTCAACAGAACTCATGACCATCACACAAGGCACAGATCACCTCTTGATGTTCCTCGTTGTCCATTCACACTATGCAAAAAATCATGCACATAAAGGCCCTAAAATCTGGAATCCATTACGTAATATAAAAGAAACACTTACCTGTTTTATAAATTCAAAAGTCCCGTCTCAAAGATCACGTACTCACCCAAAACCAAATAAAATACTGAATAACGCACCTTATAATTGTATATCTTACTGTTTTCTCACAATTATTCCATAAATGTTAAACCTAATGGAACCAATCTAACTTGATTATTTTTTAAATAACACTAACCTAACAGAATTCTCCATTATACTGATGTAAACAATGCATGCAACCATATGACTGTCTTTGTAATACTTCCTTGTGCTTTATAGTAATCTGTATACATTAAAGTTTTATCACTGATGTCATCATTGCTTAGTTCATCTTAAGTTAATTTTAAGCCAGCCCGTAATGCTATGCATAGTATAAGTGGCTTTGGCATGCTGCTCTTATTGTATTCTTTGTACTCTGTATGTGTGCTCAAAATTTTTAATTAAATAAATAAATTAAAAACACGATCCACTGACGTCGTTCCGTGAGACTGACAGTGAGAAGATTAATGGGAAGGTGCAATAATTTACATGTTAATTAATATTTTGTACACATTCTAGAAATCATGCTTCAGAGTTTTTTTTCAGATGGGAACAGAGAAAAAAATGGAATTCAGGACAACTATATTGAAGATGAAGAAGGTGATTTAGTTATCAAAGAGGAAGATGATGATGATGAGGTTGGGGATACCTATGATAAAAATGGCATTATTGAGAGCAGCAGTGATGATACAGGTGAAGACGAAGAGGAATTCAAGATGTCAGGTTGGATCATTATTTTATGTGTAAATGTTTTTTCCCTTTGAGTAGTTTTTGGTGAGTATTATTATTGTTAATACGGGATAGCTGTGTATCCTTTTATATACCACAAAACATTTCCATCGCAACTTATCTTAAAATTTTGGAAGTACATGGCTTTTTACAGCCTGAGTGATGGTCTAACCTCTGTATACAAACCAGTAAATGTAATTACATACTCTAAACTTATTTCATAACTTTTTCTTATGCTTGGGGCTTTTATCATTATGCATGCAGTATTTTATATTTTTTCTGTTATCAGTTCAGTAAATTTTCTCTGTAATGGACTCCTATGTAATGGATTTTGGATAAAATGGACAAAATATTTGGCTGGACAAAGGCTGGATTCAATGAACTCAGTCTGCTACATAGAGGGATACTTATCTGTTAGTGGTAGTGTGTCTGTTAGACTACATATGAAGCAGACCATGTGTGTTGCACCAGTTATATATCTAATATGGCCCAGAGTTGCTGCTTTCGGGACCTGCCTATTTTCATTATTCTCAGACAGGTTGGGAAGAGGAGCGATTGGTGGAATGATGATGTAAAGAGAGTAGTAAGGGAGAAAAAGTTAGCATATGAGAAGTTTTTACAAAGTAGAAGTGATGCAAAGAGGGAAGAATATATGGAGAAAAAGAGAGAGGTTAAGAGAGTGGTGAAGCAATGTAAAAAGAGAGCAAATGAGAGAGTGGGTGAGATGTTATCAACAAATTTTGTTGAAAATAAGAAAAAGTTTTGGAGTGAGATTAACAAGTTAAGGAAGCCTAGAGAAAAAATGGATTTGTCAGTTAAAAATAGGAGAGGAGAGTTATTAAATGGAGAGTTAGAGGTATTGGGAAGATGGAAGGAATATTTTGAGGAATTGTTAAATATTGATGAAGATAGGGAAGCTGTGATTTCGTGTATAGGGCAAGGAGGAATAACATCTTGTAGGAGTGAGGAAGAGCCAGTTGTGAGTGTGGGGGAAGTTTGTGAGGCAGTAGGTAAAATGAAAGGGGGTAAGGCAGCCGGGATTGATGGGATAAAGATAAAAAATGTTAAAAGCAGGTGGGGATATAGTTTTTGGAGTGGTTGGTGCAATTATTTAATAAATGTATGGAAGAGGGTAAGGTACCTAGGGATTGGCAGAGAGCATGCATAGTTCCTTTGTATAAAGGCAAAGGGGATAAAAGAGAGTGCAAAAATTATAGGGGGATAAGTCCGTTGAGTATACCTGGTAAAGTGTATGGTAGAGTTATTATTGAAAGAATTAAGAGTAAGATGGAGAATAGGATAGCAGATGAACAAGGAGGCTTTAGGAAAGGTGGGGGGTGTGTGGACCCGGTGTTTACAGTGAAACATATAAGTGAACAGTATTTAGATAAGGCTAAAGAGGTTTTTGTGGCATTTATGGATTTGGAAAAGGCGTATGACAGGGTGGATAGGGGGACAATGTGGCAGATGTTGCAGGTGTATGGTGTAGGAGGTAGGTTACTGAAAGCAGTGAAGAGTTTTTACGAGGATAGTGAGGTTTTAAGTTAGAGTATGTTGGAAAGAGGGAGATTATTTTCCAGTAAAAGTAGGCCTTAGACAAGGATGTGTGATGTCACCGTGGTTGTTTAAATATATTTATAGATGGGGTTGTAAGAGAAGTAAATTTCGAGGGTCTTGGCAAGAGGCGTGGAGTTAAAAGATAAAGAATCACACATAAAGTGGGAGTTGTCACAGTTGCTCTTTGCTGATGACACTGTGCTCTTGGGAGATTCTGAAGAGAAGTTGCAGAGATTGGTGGATGAATTTGGTAGGGTGTGCAAAAGAAGAAAATTAAAAGTGAATACAGGAAAGAGTAAGGTTATGAGGATAACAAAAAGATTAGGTGATAAAAGGATTGGATATCAGATTGGAGGGAGAGAGTATGGGGAGGAGGTGAATGTATTCAGATTTTTGGGAGTAGACGTGTCAGCGGAGGGGGTCTATGAAAGATGAGGTGAATCATAGATTGATGAGGGAAAAAGGGTTTGAGTGGTGCACTTAGGAGTCTGTGGAGACAAAGAACTTTGTCCAAATGGAGGCAAAGAGGGAAAGAAATGAGAGTATATTTTACCAACGCTCTTATATGGGTGTGAAGCATGGGTGATGAATGTTGCGGGCAAGGAGAAGGCTGGAGGCATGGAAAATGTCATGTCTGAGGGCAATGTGTGGTGGGGAATATAATGCAGAGAATTCGTAGTTTGGAAGTTAGGAGGAGGTGGGGGATTACCAAAAACTGTTGTCCAGAGGGCTGAGGAAGGGTTGTTGAGGTGGTTTTCGGACATGTAGAGAGAATGGAGCGAAACAGAGTGACTTCAAGAGTGTATCAGTCTGTGGGGAAAGGGAAAGGGCAGGGTAGGGGTCGGCCTAGGAAAGGTTGGAGGGAGGGGGAAGGAGGTTTTGTGTGCGAGGGGCTTGGACTTCCAGCAGGCATGTGGGAGCGTGTTTGATAGGAGTGAAGGGGAGAAAAATGGTTTTTAATACTTGACGTGCTGTTGGAGTGTGAGCAAAGTAACATTTATGAAGGGATTCAGGGAAACCGGCAGGCCGGACTCAAGTCCTGGAGATGGGAAGTACAGTGCCTGCACTCTGAAGGAGGGGTGTTAATGTTGCAGTTTAAAAACTGTAGTGTAAAGCACCCTTCTGGCAAGACAATGATGGAGTGAATGATGGTGAAAGTTTTTCTTTTTCAGGCCACCCTGCCTTGGTGGGAATCGGCCAGTGTGTTAATAAAATAAATAAAGGTTGGGCCATTGGCCTGCCTCATTTTGTTAATGTCCTCTCTCATTCAAAGGTTCATTGTATTACTCCTAGTTTGTCTGCTCAAAATTGTTTGCCATAACTAGGAACTTTTATATATAAGGAATAAACTGAAAACCTACCTTTGCAACACTAATGTATCTTCTTGGAAAATATATACAGCCTCTCCTCACTTAACAACGTACGCATTTACCGACGCCTCGGGCTTACAACTGGCTCTCTGACCAGTATTCATACCTAAATAATGTATATTAGAGCTGATTTCTTCTATTCTGTTCATTTCAATATTCAATACACTACTGTACTAGAAACATTCAAAAATACAGTGGACCCTCGACCAACAATATTAATCCATTCCAGAGAGCTTGTCCTTAGCCGAATTTATTGTTAGCTGATTTAATTTTCCCCATAAGAAATAATGGAAATCCAATTAATCTGTTCCAGACATCCAAAAGTATGAAAAAAAAAAAAAAATTCACATGAAATATACATTTTCGTACACAGAAAACAATGATACATGCACAGTAAATACTACATGAAGAATAAATGACACTTACCTTTATTGAAGATGTAGTGATGAGTGATGAGATGGGAGGAGAGGAGCTGATGGTGGTGTATTATTGTTTGGAAGGGGAATCCCCTTCCATAAGGACTTTAAGTACCAAGTACTTTTCTGGGGTTACTTCCCTTCTTTTCTTAATGCCACTGGGAACAACTTGATAGTCACTGGACCTCTGTCGCACCAAAAATCTGTCCATAGAGCTCTGTACCTGGCGTTGCTTTTAAGATTTTCCTAAAATGGGCCACAACATAATCATTGTATAAGTCACCAGCACGGCTTGCAATAGCTGTGTGAGGGTCATGTTCTTCCATAAAGGCTTGCACCTTTGTCCACATTGTACAAATGTCCTTAATTGTTGAAGAAGGCAACTTCCTCCATTTCTCTCTCCCCCCCCCCCCTCTGAAGCAATTTCCTTAGTTGTGGTCTCTTGTTCTTCACTGTCGTTCTCCACCAACTCTTCCACATCCTCCCCACTAACCTCCAACCCCTTGGACTCCCCCAATGACACAATAGATTCCACAACTGGCATAGGCTCCTCAGGGTTAGCCCCAAACCTTTCAAAATCCCTCTCTTGTACACATTGTGGTCACAGTTTCTTCCAAGCAGAGTTCAAGGTCCTGTTAGTCACTCCCTCCCAAGCCTTACCTATAAGGTTTGTGCAATTGAGGATACTAAAGTGATCTTTTCAAAACTCTCTTAGGGTCAATTCAGTGTCTGAGGTCATTTCAAAGCACTTTTGAAACACTGCTTTGGTGTACAGTTATTTGAAATGACCTGCTGGTCCATGGGCTAGAGGAGAGGAGTGGTATTAGGAGGCAAAAACTTCACTTTTATGAAGCTCAGCTTCCCCGCAATTCGCTCTGGAAGTCTGAAGGATGACCAGGAGCATTGTCTAATACCAAGAGGCACTTGAGGTCCAATTTATTTTCCAGGAGGTAATTTTTCACAGTGGGGCCAAACACATGATAGAACCAATCATAGAAAATGTCTCTAGTGACCCATGCCTTACTGTTGGCCCTCCACATCACACACAATTAGCTTTGACGACACTGTTTTTCTTGAAAACACTGGGATTTTCAGACCGATACACAAGTAGAGGCTTCACTTTGCAATCCCCACTAGCATTACTACAAAACATTAGAGTCAGCCTGTCTTTCATAGGCTTGTGTCCTGGCAGTGCTTTTTCCTCCTGTGTAATGTAGGTCCTGCTTGGCATTTTCTTCCAAAACAGGCCTGTTTCGTCACAATTAAATACTTGTGGTTTTAATTTTTCAGTGTCTATGTACCCCTTGAATTCCTGCACATATTTTTCAGCCGCTTTTTGTCCGAACTGGCAGCCTCACCATGCCTTATCACACTGTGTATACCACTACGATTCTTAAATTTCTGAAACCAACGTTTGCTGGCCTTAAATTCACTAACATCACCACTAGTTGCATGCAGTTTTTTAATTAAATCGTCATGCAACTGCCTTGCCTTTCCACGTATTATTGATTTAGAAACACTATCTCCTGATAATTGTTTTTCGTTTATCCACACCAACAACAATCTCTCCACATCTTTGAATATTTGTGATCTCTGTTTTGAAAACATTCTTGCACCTTTCGCAACAACAGCTTCCTTGATTGCCTTTCTGTTGGCCAAGATAGTAGCGATGGTTGATTAGGGTTTGTTATATAACCTGGCTAGCTTGGAGGCACGCACTCCACTTTCATACTTTGTGATTATCTCTTTCTTCAATTCCATAGTAATTCTCACCCTTTTTACCACAAGGTTGGCACTAGAAGCTTTCTTGGGGCCCATGGTGTCTTATTTAGCAGTTACAATTACTAAAAACATTGGAATAATACAAAATGTATCGCAGTTACTTGTGGAACTGACCGCAGTGGCTTGTAAACAATGGCACACTAGTTGAAGGCAGGACAGCTGAGGCGCACTCAGGCTGGACGGACAGGCGGATTCGTTCGGGACGAATGTTGTTACCCGAGTTTTTCATCATTAGTCGAGCCAGTATTTTTACGCAGAAACGCATCGTTAGCCAATTTTATCGTTAGACGATGCCATTGTTGGTCGAGGGTCCACTGTATGCCAGAAATGTTATCAATGGTGCAAAGGTGACATTAAAACAATATCAGAGGTGGTTGACACAAACTCTCTACCATTATAGTATGCTCCTCATTTAGTGACAAATTTGTTTAACGATGTGATCTTAGGAATGGAACTCCGTCATTAAGTGAGGAGAGGCTGTATTAGTATTTAAAGATTTCATCATTGCATGTGTACTTTTGGCTCATTACTGCACTTAAAAAAAATTGAGTTTAATGACTCGAGTAGCATCATTGAAGCTAAAACCTTGTGTAGCTTTAAAAAATAGGTTAGGCAATTGCATGAGTGGGTGTGGGTGGGTATGAGTTGGACATGCCTAGCATGGGCAGTTCCTTTTTTCTTATGTTCTTTTCTAATCAGAGTAAGGTCACTCAGTTTGTGGTCATAATTTCTTTTTCAGTAGTTCCCTGAAGGTCGGACAGTATGCATGCTTCAAATTCATAATATAGATGGTCTTTGAAGGCGCCTTTATGCCAGCTGGATGTTTCCTTAAAGACACCCCTATATTAATGCTCTTGAGGCATTTTCAACATCCAAGATCACACAAATGGATTCTTTGTTGGTCTTCGGATGTGGTGTTGGCACACATTGTGTACCTCCAGCCCATCTTTCATCACGACCATCAAAAGATATTTTTTCCTGGCCTTAAAGCAGTTGCCAGAAGCTACCTTCTGGCAGTTGTTTTAAACACAATACTGGGTACAGGTATACCCCATACCTTACACTAGACTCCTCCTGCCCTATGGAGCTACTTGTCACTCTCACTTCAAGGTTAGATGTCCTGCTCAAGAACAGAAGGGTTCACAGTGCTCACTGTATTCCTGATGACTTTACATTTGCTGATCTTCCTAACAGTCCTGTCCTATGCTGTGTTTTGAAACTAAGGGATTCTCTTTCATTGTTCTCACAATGGCCCAAAAACTCTCTTCAGTCAGACCTCTTCATTAATCCATTTGCAGGGGCTAATAAAAGCTCCTGGCTCCTCTCCACTTGGGTAAGATTATTCATTACCGTATATCTACAGTAGTCCCCCATATCCATGGGGTATACATTCCAAGACCTACTATGGATACCCAAAACCATGGATAGTAGTGAACCCCATACATATATAAGTTGTTTTTTGTTTACATACATACCTGTGATAAAATTTAATTGATAAACTATGCATAATAAGTCAAAAGATAGCACTTTTTTTACTAATGGGAAGCACTTCACAGCTTCTCTTAGGCTTTGAAGAAACTGAACCCGTGGATACGGGGGTTCTTCTGTACTTACTCCAGTCAAAGTTTTCCAGTCCTCAGAATAAAGACTCATGACATTAGGGTCATGTCAAGGTTTTTGGCACTAGCTGCTGATGTTCCTCTGGACCTCTTCTTGGAACCATGAAAATCACTCATGCTTCAACCTTCTCCCAACATTATGACAATGTACTAGATAGGAACTGAGACATTGCCTACCTGAGATATCAACACTGAGGTTAGTTCCAATCTTATTGTTCACACATTTCTCTGGGCCATGTTCTCAGCATACTTGATGTGTGCTTGTACAGTATTAGGAAACACTGATGGCCACTTTTTTTTCACCATGCAAAAGTTAATTGTCTCCATCAGCCAGGCATTTGAAAAGCTCACATTTCTTGGGGCCTGGCCTGGCTTGATCTAGACTAAAATACTGTTCAAAATTTATTACCGTCCTAAATCATGTTTCAGTTGTAGGTATGTTTATGGCCCATTCCAATATAAATAATTTGTCTGGACTAGGTGGTTCTCCAAATCTTGACAGTAGTACTCCACATGAATGATTTGATTCCTAATGCACATTCCTTTTCATGAATGGTTACTGGTCCTGCTCCACATAATCTTTGCTAGTGCTTAGAAGAAATGTTCAGGATTTTCTTGGTTATGTATGGAGATGAACTTTAGCAAAATCTCTTAACATAGGATGTAGGGCTTTGCCCAGGGCCTGTATAAGAGACCCTCTTCTTCATTCACCAGTTGTCCATCTTAGTGATTTGGTTGCAGCAATCGCCCATGCTGCTGGCTGAGAGCTTCCTCTCCCTAATTTTCTGCATCTTGAGTATCTTCCGATGATGGTCTTCAGCTGCCACCTCCATAATTTAGGGTACTGGTGGTAAGAATTACTGACATGGCTCATCTGAGCACAAACACTGAATACACTGTGTGAAGTTTTAAGGAATGAAAAACTAATTTCTATAGTGTGTTCTATGAACCATAAAGTATGCCATCTCCCCTTGTCAGCTGTTCTACAAACTATGCAGAATAGATGTGCATGCTTGAAAAGTGTCTGAATTAGACACTAGAGGGAACAAATATGCATTCTCATAGGTAAATAAGACTTACTAGATGATAAAAGTGATTTAAATCTTACATTCTGGTAATATAGAAGTTATATAGACAGGTTTGTCTTCAGAATATTCCTCTCCAGAAAATAGTTTTCCATTCCGCAGAACTGTCGAATGTGTGTTTGAAAAATTTTGCTTTAAACTATATATATTGTTTCCAACAGATGGTAGAGAGAGCAACACTCAGGGATGCATTTCTTTGGTTAGCCCTGACAAGTTATCTGAAATAGGACCAGATGCAGCCTCTCATACAGATGGTAAGAGTTTTAATGATGATCAAGAGTTGCGTCCACAGAAGCCAAAGAAGCAAATTCCACCTTTAATTAAGATTAGTTCACGGCCACCAGGTAAGTAGGAAAGAGTCATTTCATTTATTTTTCATTTGGTTATTTTTGCCTTTATGCCTTTGTTAACCATTTCTCTCAAGTGAACATCCCTCTTAATAGGAGATGCCGTCATGCTGGTAAAGTTGCACTCCCCTTCTTTGGATCAACCCTGATTATATCCCATTCCTCATGGGCTGTATGATTCCTGTAGGTTTATTATTTCCCCATTTTGTGAATGGACTCAGGGTAAACATGAAGGTGCGAGGGGCAGTGCCTGCACTGTGAAGGGAGGGGTGGAGGATGGTGCCATCTGAGGCTAATCTGATTGTGATGTTAGCACATCTCCCTTCCTTGGCTGGAGTCAGCCATTGAATTAATAAACAGGAAGAATATAATAATTATTATTATTCAAGCAATTTTCCATCAAGGGAGGTGCCTCAATACTATTTAGGGGCTCCTGATCCAAGGAACTGAACTTCCCTGTGATTAAAATGAATGTTGGATCCATGTGTTCTTAGATGCTGCCTTTGTATATATTACTGCTAAGACCATTGCATCTGCATTTGCCTAGTTACTCTTTGAGACCTACTAAAGAAATAGACTAATTTGATATTAATGGATCATCATGTTTCATCTCATACACTATTTTTATATAGTTTAGTGTATTTTGAAATTATGAATGTTGCCATTTACTATTTGTATATTTTGCATGTTTGTATCAACCCTTCTCTTTCTTGTTTTGCTTTTTATTGACCTGTGTGCTCTTGATAAGAGGACATTTTTAGTGAAGCCACAGAAAGAATTGGTTATGCATGCAGCAGTAATACAAGTAGTCATGAATGGTTTTTTATCCTTTGTTAAGCCATTTCTAAGAAGATCTGATACTGTCAAGGAAATGACTGATGTGTTGAAAGATGGAGTGTTAAGCTTGGATGGGCATGTTGAAAGACTGGATTTGGAAGGAGGTAAAAAAAAAAAAAAAAATATTGATAGTTGTGAATAATAGTGCATGTGAAGAAACATTGAAAATAAATATTTAATAGAGTTCATATTAAAGGCAGCAGTGTTGAGATTTGAGTATGTGAAAGGAGCTTTTCATGAACTAAATACTGTGGATATAGCATTTTATACAATAGAAAATTTTTCTTGTTTAGGTAAATTATTTTTTAATGGTACTAATATTTTTCAGCCATAAAAACTCCTCTGAAGTGTCCTGAATGCCCCATGCAGTTCTGCACCGTACGATCACTGCTCTGGCATTTTGGAACCCATGGAGCACGATCACGAGAAAATTGTTTGCCACCCATCCTTCTACAAGATCTAATTGTTCCATGGGATAAACCCACTGTTAATTTGTTTATATCACAGTCTTCAGAGAGTGACAAGAATGTAGAAAAAGGAGTGAGCTTTGCTGACACAGTTTTATCAACTTCCTTGTCAGATACAACAGTCAAACTTGATGCATTGGGTAAACAGGATATGACAGTGACCACGCAATTATAAGAACAGATGATTATATGGGTACTAATGGAGATGTTATCCTCAAAGTACCAATTCCTAGGTTAAAACCCAAGTCTCACACTCCTGCAGCATTAAAGAAAGACAAGTTTGTGAACATCTTGCCTAAGATGACAACTGGGGATGGACAGACCTCTATCAATTCCACCCAAATCAATCCACAGCCTATACGAAGACCATCCATTTCTCCTACACCACAAATAACAATACAACCACAGAATGGTAGAGCTGTTGATATGGTTACAATAACACCACAACATCAGGTTCCAAAAATCACAATCCGAGCTGAGAACTCAGCACAGCACATTCAGATTCATCCAGCAGTATCGTCTCATTCTACAGTTCAAATTCAGCCTTTAGTGTCATCACCTCAGTCAACAGTCCAAATTCAGCCAATTGTATCATCTCAGTCAACATTACAAATTCAGCCATTGGCATCTTCTTCACATTCAACAGTCCACATCCAACCATTAGTCTCATCATCACAATCAGCAGTTCAAATTCAACCCCTAGTTTCATCTACAGCATCAGCAATCCAAGTTCGACCAGTTGTCACAAGTACGAAAGCCTCTTGTTCTGCACCTAGTCACATTGCTTTGATTCCCATGGATAACTTAGCTGCAGTAGGACAAAACTTAGGCTCAAGAACACCCAAAATTAATTCTGCTCCATTAAGTATGATAACCCCATCTTCACTTCCTGGAAAAACATCTACCCCAGTTGACAGTGTGTTGGAGAAGGATGGTTTAGTGATGATTAATTCTAACCTAGCTTTACACATTGTATCATCATTACCGAGCACTCTAGATACCGGTACTAGCACAACAAACACAACCACTATCCGACCCATTGCTAGTCACTTGACAAACAACCTCACCATCTTACCTCAGATGGATGGAAGCAATATTGTTAACTCAAAGAAGGAGAGCGTAAAAAATCCTGATATTCTTACTATTGTGCCTCAGGTTGATTTGAGTAAGAAAGTGTCTTTACTAAAGACAGCCACACCGGTTTCTAGTCCTCATGTAGCAAGGATTTCAAAGTCATCTGTTGCGCCTTCTCAAGTTGTCAAATTGTATCTATTACAACCCAAAGATCCAAGGAGTGATGGTACAGTGAAGCTGAGCATAGCAGCAGAAACTTCTAGCAGAGTCAATGGAATTGAAATACCTGTGCCATTTGCAAGTGAGAAAGAAAGAACAAAGTGTGAAAATTTCTATTCAAAACATGTTGAGGAATCTGATGATGATGATGAAGGAATGGTAATTGATGATGGAAAGGAGGGGGATGATGATATGATGGATCCTCTTAGTTTATGTGCTGTGACAATGGAAGATGAAAATCTTGATATTTCAAATAGTGGTAACCAAGCTGGTCAGTTTAATCCCAGTACTGCTGCCATTTCAACTGATAAAGTCACCATAAAAAAAGTACCTGTTAAATCCAAAGGTAAGAGCATCCAAGGAGTTGATATTGTGAAGTATGAAGCCAGAAAATATGTTTGTTGTTATTGTAACAGACGATTTGGTTGGTCAACAGATTTGAAACGACATGTAATTCTTCATACTGGTGAAAAACCGTTTCAGTGTAAGGTATGTCCAACAGCATTCACGAGAAAATTTCTTTTACAAAACCATATGAAAAGAATGCACCCAGACAAATGTAAAATGTCAGACCTGTGGCCTTAGGAAATATTTGGCATTTATGGTCTTTCATTACTATAAATTTTAGCCAGTGATTTTTGGTGATTTAATTGTAAGTTTTACAGAACACTAAACACAAGAGTGAGGACACTGATGCTTAGCAGTGCTGCTTATGGGCATTAAAACTCTTTCAAACCATTCATTAGTCAAAATATGGTCAAAAACAACTATACATGTAATTACTTAGATGCTAGTCAACATATCCTATGGAATTCAGCAAGAGTAATTTCATGAAGGCTTGGGACGGTACAGCATGTGGTCACTAGCCCATCAGGAAATGGAACTTTCCACATGCACTGAGGCATAACTCTCTTAGGAGAATTAAAAAAAAATTACTGAAATTGTAGTGTAATGTAAGATTTTTTAATATTTTGGGTTGAGCAAAGTTTTATATAGTTTTCAAGAACTTTAACTATTGTGGTTAATGGAAAATCTCAAGTGTAGGTAATTCTAGTCTTTAAGAGCAAAAGCCCACTGATACATACATATATGCATACATACATTGATACATACATACTGTATACTTACCAGAAGATATCAGAAACACTGCTGGGACAAGTATGGAAGCCTTCAAGAGGAAACTGGACAAGTATCTTCACTAAGTGCAAGATCAACCAGGCTGTGATGGATATGTGGGTCAGCATGCTACCAGCAGCAACAGTCTGGTTGACCAGAAAAGCACCAGATGAGCCTGGCCCAAGGCTGTACTCTGGGAGTAGAAACACTCTCAGAACTCATCAAAGGTACATACAAACTAACACGTTGCTGGGCCAATTCTAGGAATGCCTCATTGGTCAGAATGCATAAAAAGGTCATTGAATAATTTTTATTGAGCATTGACAAATGTTCACCACATTTCAGTTAGTCATACAAACATATCAAAGTAACATTAAAAAAATAAGTTTATAACCAAAAATTGATAAGAAGTGAAGAGGCATAGAAAAGGCATTGTTTACAAAGTACATCACAGATTCAGCAGTTATCTGGAATATTAACAACAAGGCTTGGCATCAGGACTACAACCAAAATGATTCATTTATTGTATAGCAGATTTGAACAGTAATAGGTTTTTTCTGGCATATTATAACTGTCATTAACTGGCCACTATAAGATTTGCTTCCATGGAAGCCTAGTAGGTTTAGTGGGCTAGGAACCTTCTGTAAGAATTCAAAATAAATATTCTTTTCTGTTAGTATAGAAAAATTTGTTTTACATGGGAATATTTTGTAATTCAATACTGAGAGTGCCTACAGATATGAATAATACTTCATGAAGTGTGTAGCCACATTTTAATGGAAAAATAAGAAGACTCATCAAATACAGTCATGTAAACATATATACATTCAAAATAAATACATCTATAAACACACATGCATACTTCCCCCCAAAACACACACATGCATGCGCACATGCATGCATACACACATACATATGCATTCATGCATGTGCATACAGAGAGAGAGAGGTTAGAGGAACTCAGCCTGATCATATTGGAAGACAGAAGAACATGATACTGATACATAAAATGCTGAGAGGAATTTACAAGGTAAACGGGGCCAGAATGTTTCAGAGATGAGATACAGGAACAAGAGGACACAACTGGAAGTTTAAAACTCAGATGAGTCATAGGGATATTAGGAAGTATTTCTTCAGCCTTTGAGTTGTCAGGAAGTGGAACAATCTGGAGAGTGAAGTAACAGAGACAGAATACATACATTGCTCTTGGAGCTGGGAGAAAGCAGACCTAGCAGCAACCAGTGAAGAGTTGGGGCCAGGAGCTGTGACTTAACCCCTGCAACCACATGGTAAGTATACATACACACACACACACACACATGGGGCCAGGATCTCTGAATCAACCCCTGCAGCTACATATAGGTAAATACATACACACAAGCACAAACATACACATAGTAAACCCTCATTTTGTGCATTTGTTTTGTGTTTTTTTTTTCTTTCTCTTTTTTGTGCATTCCAACTTGTGTAATATCATGAAATGTGCCATAAATTTTTAAGTAATGTGGTATAAATTTTTAAACAAATAATGCACCATAAATTTTTAAACAAATAATGCACCATAAATTTTTAAACAAGTAATGCTTAAAATTCTGGTAAGACATGTTGTAAAATTTTTCAAACTGCCCACCGTATGGATGGGTGGCCAATCATATCTACCCACCTATCTTCCTTCTCTGCTTGGGCTTATTGGTCTAGAGGACATTAACTAGACATTTTTCCTACCATGGGATGCCCCACGCCACCTGCATTTACTCCAACTCATGTGCCAGCCAGACTCCTTGTTACTCAATGTTTACCAAGCACTTATGGATGTTGTCATTGCATCATCTATTTATATTAATCATGGCTTCCAAGAGTAATTCTAGTGACTCTGGAGTGCCAAGAAGAATAAGTATGATTCTACAGTGCTGAGAAGAAGGGAAATTTTAAATAAACTTACAGTGGATGTAGTGCATATGTAAAAGAAACTACATGTGAATTTGGTGCAAGTGAATCTCATTTATAGTTAGAAACAATGAAAAAGAAGTTGAGCTTGTGCAGCAAATAGTACAGATTATGACATGTGTAGTCATGACTAGGTGGGCTGTACAGCTAAGTAAAACGGGAAAGCTACATAATGTGTGGATTAAGAAAATATCCAAATAAGGAAACTTTCCTTTATTCTCAGATGATAAAGAGCCAAGTGCAGTCTTTCAGTGTAACTGTATGTATATTAGCAGGATGAAGATCATGTAGAAGAATGTAAATTTAGTGCTGAATGGTTTGAGAGTTTTAAGGAATGCACTAAACTTCACAACATCAAAGTATCTGATAAGAGTGCATTAGCTTGTTATGTAGCTACTGTGGTGACTTAGATTGATTACAGCAACAATTACACCCATGATCAACTGCAATTTAATACTGAAGATTTGAATCATGTGCCATTAAGTACTTGCTTAACAAGCAGCATGCTTCTGTACACCAAAATAACAAAGAGATTCTAAGAAAAAGTTTATTCTCGTTTATCATGCAGATAATATTGTACCTGTGCTTTAAAAGATAAGAGTAAAACCTGCTTACCTTATTTGTCAATTTAACAAAGCAGTATGGAAGACTGGAAGCCTGTTTATTGAAGGGTTCAAGCATTTATTTATACCTATGTTAAACATGTACCTGGCCAGAGAAAAACCATGCATTCAAGGTTCTTCATACTCTTGACAAGTTCTGTAGTCTTCTTGGGGAGATGTAGTCTGAGCTTAAATGTGAATATTGCTTTAACCACACAGCCATTAATGATGCTATGTTGTCAAGACTATAAAGTACTGCAAGGAAAAACAGGTGAGAGATGCATTACACAATATTGAATATTGTAACCCAAGACCATCATCATCTACTTGCAACTCCACAGCAACATCAAAACAATAGTCATCTGTCTTGTCCCAGTAGGCCAACATCAACTCTCCCTCCCTCCACATACTTCATATGCTACAAGTGATGGCTGTCAGAATGTGAGGTAATGTATTATTGTTACACAATACAATAGTATTTATATATTTTGGGGGAGGGGTTAACTTTGTGATTTTTGTAATATAACAGTTTTTTCCTTTATATTTACCCTACATCACAATTATGTATATTGTTCGTGCTGATTTTCAGGAATGCAATGCCTGCACTAAGTAAGGGTTTACTGTATACACTGCTACATTACACATACACTGCTACATTACACATACACTGCTACATTACACATACACTGCTACATTACACATACACTGCTACATTACACATACACTGCTACATTACACATACACTGCTACATTACACATACACTGCTACATTACACATACACTGCTACATTACACATACACTGCTACATTACACATACACTGCTACATTACACATACACTGCTACATTACACATACACTGCTACATTACACATACACTGCTACATTACACATACACTGCTACATTACACATACACTGCTACATTACACATACACTGCTACATTACACATACACTGCTACATACACATACACTGCTACATTACACATACACTGCTACATTACACATACACTGCTACATTACACATACACTGCTACATTACACATACACTGCTACATTACACATACACTGCTACATTACACATACACTACTACATTACACATACGCTTCTACATTACACATATGCTTGTGACCCTAAGCAGTTTTACTATCACTGAAATTTCTGCACATATAATAAATTTTAATAGACGTGGTGAATGCATGCCACTGAGATATTGGTGGCCACTTAAGACAACTTTATTTTTCCACTTGCACATTTGAACTGAGACTTTGTATAGGAAAGGTAGTATTGAATGAGGACTTAACATTTTTGTGTGTGACTATTGGCTTAATTGTAAGGCAATTTAGAAGCAAATTCATGAGTTGGCTTCAATTTTCTGGTGCTCTATATTGGAAATAGCCATCTGCATATTACCAAAGATTCTTAATCCAAAACTTTTATCTTTCTTATTACTGAATTTTTGTGGATGCTACCTGTGGTTAGATATTGTAATGCAGCATAGTTTTTAATATTGCCAATCAGCACATACCTCTGTAATTGTATTTGCTTATACTTTATAGAAATGTATAATGTTTTTGTGTATTGGTTGAACATTTGCTTTCATATTTGTTTTTGAATGTATGTTCACTTTTTCCAGAGTTGACATATATTAGCATAAGTAGAGATATTATTATTTATTATTTATCTCTCAACCAAAATAAAACATGTTTTTACTTCTATTTTTATGATGGGTCTACAATAAATGTTGCTTTAGAAACAGTATGTATATAGACTGATATGAAAGGCTGAATTTTAGCAGTGAATGAAAATTGGTATTCATCATGTTTTCAGTAGAATATTGAAGATAATGTTAAGTGTGTTGTCTGTCTCTTTTGGAACCACACACATGAATTCTGATGACTCACTTGTCATTCTTAACAACAATGGTGATTCTGGTTTAACATTATAGAGAGGGTTCTATCAGTTACATTAATGTAAGTTTAATTTATTGCAGTTTACACTGGGTTTATTATAGCTTTATGGTACTAGGTGACTGCATGAAGTCATCTTTCACTTTATACAATTTCCATATTATGTTTTGAAATGCTAATTGCAGTGTTAGGTTTCATGAATCATTAGAAATAACACTAATCAGCATTACCTCTCTGTTATACTAATGAAAATCTCTACCACTTTTAGCTGAGTATGCCTTTTTCCACCTTCTGTTTTCTCTAATAGATTGCTGTTTTCTAATACTGACCTCCAGGTACATTTGCCAGAAGATGCCATTGGAATGATCCGGGTTGGCATCGCTGACTTGGGAAAGTGGCAGGTTTTGTGATTTGTCAAATTCTATACAGAAAGTAGTTTTCATGCTTCAGAATGTTGTAATCTGTATATGGGTTACAGTGAACCTATAGAAATCCTACCACCAGCACTCAAATATCACAGTGGAGAGAGCTGTCAAAGAGAAAGTTGAAACTCAAAACACTTTAGCACTAAGTCAGGAAATTCTCACCCTGTTAGTTTGGTGATTTAAACCAGATTTCTTGACAATCAGGCTAAGATGCAGCTGAAGCTGATTTTGTATGTAATTCCTGAGTAATACCCTACATCTTAAAGTAGGAGTTAGCTGAAGTCAAAGCCCTGCTAGGTAGAAAAATACTAATTATTGCATCTTTGTCCACACTGCAAACTTTCATAATCATATATTAGTCCAGCAGGAGTGGTGCCAGAATTTCTATACTGTTGGCTTATGGTGTGACTATCTAGTTGGAAGAGAGGCTAGGAGACTTTTTTTGAAACATTATTATTAGTACTACTTTCATTTGGGGGTTTCACCTCCTAAACCTTGTCGATAGAGGGAAAAACCACCCTTTGATAAGTGAAGCAGCAACTTTGAATTCATGATGTCATAAATTGATAAAGGTAACAAAATTAATTCTTCCCAGACAGTGACTGACCAAGATCAGTGAATTGCTAGAAGCAAGCAAAAATTAATTAAAAATTAAATCCCCAAATTGCCAATTTTGACTTGAATACCAGTATACAGTTCAAATCCTATACATTTGTTACTTTTCTTAACCCTTTCAGGGTTTCGGCCGTACTAGTACGGCTTATGCACCAGGGTTTTTGGCGTACTAGTACGCCTAAATTCTAGCGC